CATAAAAATTACAATTTCTGAGAAAAGAAGAATAGCCAAGTTATGAAAGAAAGGGAATATTTGCATTGAAATACCTACAAAGGAGATGTAAACATTCTAAGGCCACAGCACCTCCTACCGGCAATTAGGCGCCAAAAATACAAAAGCAAGCGCGCGCGCGCGCGCACGCACGCACGCACGTAACTACAACTTTAATGTGATTGATTGATTTAAACTGCAATTTTGAATGTGATTGGCTTATTGAACTGTCCGATAACAAACTGTGCAATAACAAACTTTCCAATAACAGACTATCTGATAACAACTTGGCAAGTGAATTAGTGGAAAATAGGAGTTTTTTAAACCGATCACAATCGAGGAAATTGTAATTTTTATGATTAACTGTAATAATAAAGTCGCACAATTACAAATACGTCTTGGTATTCTGTTCATTCGTGAAAAATGACCTCGTTTTCCACTATCCAAATTGGAGATCTTTGTTTGATCAACAATGATGTGACACTATCGATTTCAGTTTACTGTATGTTGCGAATCAGAAAGTTTGCTGCCTTTAAAAGCACGAATAAGATCCGTCTTCGTTAACTTTCCCAGATCTCACTTGGCGACCTAGGTGAGTATATCAAATGGGAGAAAAAGGGCGTTGGGCAGGTCATTCCATTCAAGTTTCTGGAGGCATCCCAACACACCGGCTCGTGTATAAATGGTTCTTTTCTGAAATATTTAAAATCAACATAAACTGACACTAAGGCCAATACGCTTAATCTGGTCAATCTTTTTATTAATTAAAAGAACTAAGATCTAAAGCTAAATCTTTTGTCAAAGGCATATGCACGTGATGGTATAAAGTCGTGGAAAGTAATGCTCATAAATGGTAATCGTTAATTACTAACAGTTTTTGAAGGAAATTTAAGGACGTCAAGTCTTCGGTATTCAAAGCCTCTATCGCGTTATCTGAAAGGTCACTACTCAAATAGGAAAAAACATAGTTAAAGATTTGTTTTTATGGAATTAACCAACTGTTACTGTAGAAATAAAAAAAATAAACTTACATTTCTGTTACAGTCAACGGGATGGTTGATGGAACAGATGTGATGTTTGAAGATTTGCAATCAAGTCGTAATTCATCGGTTGCAGAAATACAACTGCACGACGATGGACATGCTGGTAAAGGAAAAAGACAACGGTCAAAAAGAAAACTGTGTTTTTATTTTTAGCAAGCCAAGCAGCATGACGCTTCTGTGCCCAGCCACTCCATCAAAAGGTCACGCAACACTTCTCTCCAGAAGCGTTGCGTGACAACAACAACAAAGCTATATCAGCGCGATTTCAAAGTTTTAAGCACTCACCCACGACATTGACCTTGGTCTTTCCATTGTCGCTCCCCCCTGAATTGTTAGCTATACAGGTATACACATCTTCGTCTTGCCAAGTAACGTTGTCAAATTCCAAGATCACCGTTCTCTCGCCCTTTACCAACACTTTTCCATTTCTCATCCATGCCACATCAGGGGCCGGAACCCCCTTTGACCAGCAGTGTAGTTTGACGTCAGCACCAAACACTACCGACTGCTCAGAGGTTATAAATATTATATTGGCAGGCACTGGTCATATTGAATAAAAAAGGGACGAGTTTGAGTAATAAAAACATCGTGCATTGTTATGTTTGGGGCGAGTTATTATATATAACAGACATGCTAGCTGAGCATTTCTTTTCGATCACAATTCGCCAGAATAAGTAGAAACGAAGACTTACAAGTCCTGTTGAAGTATGCATTCCATAAATGCTCAAACGCGCATATATACGCACTGCAGACCTATTTCTCAGCCATTTCTTTACTTGTCATAAGGGCTTGGAAGAAGAGAGCATCGGGGCAAGAGGAACTTATGCAGTGAAAGGAGGCTTATATCAGTTAAAAAGAAGGAGATTTAGACGATTTATTGGAGTGGATGTAAATTGTTCACACAGGAACGAAAATCGTGCGCACAACACAAAAAGATGACAGGTTTCTTGTGCTAACCTAACGTGTTTGTAAACTCAATTGTTGCATTGAAACCTTTGTAGGTCATAGAGTAGTCGCTAGTGAGCTTAACAACCATCTGAGCGCCGCTGGATAACAGGGGAGGAGGAATGTTGTCACCACAAAATGTCCCCAGCATAGTATTGTTTTCGCTCAAGCCATCATAAACCGTTAACTTGTCAAAATAACAAGATGAATCGTACTCCAGCTGGAATGCTTCAAATGTGAGCTTGATATATTGCCGGTGTTCAAGTTTTTCGGATGGAATTTGGATTATCCATCGACACACAACGTCCTCGGGATAGTCCTTTGGGTATCTTGGCGAAAGGATTGAACCTTCCTCATTTAGAATCTGTGTTTCACAAACGTCCTGATTTACTGCAAATGATAAAAAACACGTATGAGGTTTTGATCCCATGACAGCTGATCTTGGGTTTTCCCTGAGTTATGACAGTTAATCTTGGGTTTTCCCTGAGTTATGACAGTTGATCTTGGGTTTTCCCTATGACAGTGGGTACCTTACTGAATTTGCACCGGGAATTAGGGTATCTTTGAACATTAACAACTTCGCTTTCCATAATCCTGGTGAAAATAAAACACTTCAACCAAAATACATCCGAACAAAAGGAACTGTGGAAGGTCAGGCCTGTGTGTCCACATTAAGTAACTTACCATCTTCCGCACACTGCACACCGGCATCCTGATCGTGTGTGCACCCGGTAATTCCCAGAAACTTCATCGCGTTTTTGCATTCAAATAGCGAGTTTTCAGTGCCATTACAAACAAGTTTCGTCAGCCATATTTTCATGCCTAAACCACCACCAAATGTCGAGCCATCAAATAACTGTACAGCTCTTGAGAAGTTCAACATTCGACACGCCACGTGGCCATCATTGATGGTCCAGCGATCCTCACAAACTGTGCCCCATTCTCCGAAGTGAAAGACCTCGACGCGGCCTATTGAACTTGCCGGACCTCCAACTAAACGAACTACAGGGCCTGCAATGGAAAATGAAGAGACTTTCGCACCACTGTTCTTGAAAAGAAACGACGATGGAAATCAAAACTCTTCCAGTATTCGGAGAAAAGTTTTTACTGCATCCTCTCCGCGGTCATATCGTAGAAAGTTAATTACAATGGTGCGCGTTTTTATTGTGGTGAACGAGCAAGTATAGCAATTAAACTTAGCAATTTGGTTTTTCATGGTTTTTCAAAGGTTCAACAACGACTATTAAATTTGCGATTTCTTCGAGAGAACACGCTCAACTGACTCGTGGAAGTTTAATTCGCCAGACTGAGAAGTTGAAGTTTCCTTCCAAAAAGGTCGTCAAGAGTCATCTGTATTTCACTGATTTGGAACTTACGGGCGGTTGATTTGCGTACCCGACACCTGTGAGCTCTCTTTCAACCATAATTTTCAAAGTTTCGTGAAAAAAAAAAAAAACGTTTAACATGGGCATATGGACTGTATTATTGAAACAGTTTGCGGATCTAGTTGACCTCTTTTAAAACCAGTTTGATGACAGAATTTCGAACTGTTTTCCAAGCCAAGCAAGTTCTTAAGTTGTGAAGAGAGAGAGATTATATCAATGCTTCCTGCAGACAAATCTCGGCATTCAAGCGTATCTCTAGTAACCTACTTGTTCGGGAATGCACCACTTAGTCCTTTTATACATAAAAAAAAAAAGAACTTAAATTTTACTCTCCTTTCTTCGCACTGATTGTTTATTATTGATGTTGTTTTCTGGAGTTCATCGAGATTTGCCCGCCACAACCTCGAGGAGGATAGCTTGAGCGCAAGTTGGACTGATTCAGTGACGTTTCACTGACACCATAGGTGGATTGTTTATGACAATCCATGGACGAAGGTGCAAAGAAGCAAGAACAGTTTCAATTGCTTACCTCCAATTCGTCCGTTGTTTGGTGACTGAGCCATTATGAACTATGAAGGAAAACAAGAAATCGCACTAACACATAGCTTTTTCTCCTTGACCCATAATCCAGGGTTATTTACTTTTTTGTCCGATTAGTTATAATAATCGAAATTATTCTTAAAAAAAACACCTGGCGCATGGACACAGGCAGAATTGAATAATGGGATTAGTTTCATTTGAGGCCACGTCCACACTACGCCAGAGGAATTTGAAAACCGAGGTTTCACTCTGAAAATGCATCAAATGTTTTCCGTCCACGCTCCACCACCGGTCATTTTTGGATTTGTATTTGAGGAAAACTCCGTCACGGATATCGCATAATTATCGTGACTCCATTGTTTTCGAAAGGCTCCGTTCCAAAATGCTTTCAGTCCACGCGAAAACGAAAAGCGGGCGTTTTCAAATTTCTCCGGTTTGAAGAGCGTTTTCGAAATCCTCCGTTTTCTTGACGGATTAATATGGACGGCAAATCTAACCGTACAAAAGAATGAAGCTGCGTTTTCAATTTCCTCTGCGGGCGTAATATGGACGCTGTCCATTTTACAGGTGATTTGTGATTCTGAGAATATCTCGACAGGTTCCTTTTACCTTCGTCGTCGATAAAACGATCGTATTGAATAACCCGCATTAAATAAAAAAAAATTATCTATTGCCATTTATCGGTGGACCAAAATATAAACAATCTCCAATGATTTATTATGATGACATATCCAGCAAATAGGCCTATCTGGTAATACTGACGGCAAAAACGAGATATATAAGTTGTATTTCAAATAGTGGCCGAAAATTCAATTTTTGTTACCAGAAAATGTTCGCGGTTCAACGAAGCTGTTTTCAGCTTTGCACTGTTAAAGCCGGTTTAACTGTCTCACGAATAAAGATAATAAGTAGTTTTACACTTTAAGAAACAAATAGATACTTCTCGCTTTCTTAACTCGGTTGTAAACTCATCCAGTTTCTTCATCTTTAACAAAGTAAAACGACGCCTTTTTAGCGAACCATATAGAGTCTTCACCAAATCTTTTCGGATTTCAGCAGCTTTTTCCAATTGCTGCCATTAAAAACTTAGCAATTGAATGAACTTCTCTTAAGAATTGATTTAAAAACAGGCTAAACATTAACTCAAACCTGAATTAAACAAGGAAGGAGTAGGAAGGTACTGGCCCAGAATGCTTTCATATCTTTTTTGCTCATGTTTAGTCGTTCGCTCAAGATCGCAGAGTTCGTCTTCCCACAGCGCTGAGTAGATGAGATTTCCCCAAAAGTAAAAAGGTATGAATAATTGATTTTGGTATGGATTATGATTGAACTCCCGCAAGAAGTAATAAGCGTTACTAACGTAACCTGTAAATTATGCTCACTGACCTCTATCGCGCCGAAACATCCTTCCTGTAATTGGGGTCTGCCTCGGCTTTGCACAAATTTTGAGGGTATTCGGGTGGGGTAGGGGTGTCTGTAGTAATCTTGTCGCATTCAAGCTCTAATATACCTGACAAACCTTTGTACTAACACTTGTAATTTGTAAAACAGCTGTCGCACTTTGTAAAGCTTGTATAAATATTACACTTTGTAATAACATAATGTGTCGCATTTTGTGATAACTCTCTGAATTGTACAAATAAATCAGTAGAAAGGGAATCTAATTAAACCCTACGCGAGATTCGCCAACTCGGCAGAGTAGTGGTTCTATTGCTAGGTTATGGTTGTCGTGAGGCGACAAGCACAAGGTGTTTTTAGTAAACCTTGGGAGTTGAATGCAAGACCTTTTGTACACCAGTTGGACACTAGCTTATACAGGAGGCTTGTTGAAACTACCTTTGTACACCATACATAATTGATCATCTTATTGAGGCCCATGGTGATTGAAGTTTTCCGTAGGCTAGCATTACTCGCGTAAGAGAGAAAAAAACATTCTAGTTTATTCTTTAGAAGTTTCACTTCTTCGCCAAAAATTTTAACGAAAGCATTTCAAGGTGCCAGAGGTGTGAAAACTGACATGAAACATCTTCATTATTTGTAATTTCCATTAAATGATATTTGTTAACAGCCAGAAGTGGGGCCGGTAAATATCTGAGTGAGCGCATTATAAAAGCGGTCCTAAAAGGTTCATAAGGCAGTTCAAAGCCCCGTCCACACGTATCCGAATATTTTTTATTCCGCTCTCCAGGGTGGAAAAAATGTAAATCCGCAACGAATCCGATAACGTGTGCACAGCGAATCCGGATATTTTCGAATCCGATGAAGTCGCAGAATCGTTTCCAGTCTGTTACCGAACAATAAACCAATATGGCGGCACAAAGTGTAGGCCTAGTTTTTCTAGAGTGAATCCAGATACCATCAGATGCGTGTGGACAGGCGAATTCGATTCGAATACGCTACGTGTGGACGGGGAAATTTTTCAATCCGGAAAGAAAAAGTTGCGGATATCAAAAATGTCCGGATACGTGAGGACGGGGCCTAAGTAGCTACGTACGACGGCGACCGACTTCCAGGGCAACGCCGTTTAAAAAAATGAATTTATATTTTACCTCTGAATCTCGCGGTACTCGAAAGTCATTTAGTTGTTTCTCTTTGTCTAAACTATTTTGATACTGACTATGGAATACAGCGGAAAATTCAAAATATAAATTTTAAAAGTTGTCCGTCGTGGTTCATCTTATCCACACAACGCAGAATTTGGTCATTTCACGTTGTTTTGCAGAGGACGGCAAAGAAATGTACCAAGAATTATTATGCACGTGCACAGCCATTGTTCTGCTCATTAACTTTTTTTTTCGCTGACGTTTTCGTTTCCGTCGAGGTTTGCTTAAGTTCCCTATGTTATTGAGAAGCAGCATAATGGTTTTTTCAAAACTTAACGCCAAGTGAATAACATTTTCCTCGCACTCTTATTGGTTGACTGAGACGGTAAATATCCTGTCATGTTGCCTGTTTTGTAAATATTACAAACCTATCTGTTTTAGGCGTTGTAGTTGGCAGCGGAAATATCCACTTTTTATCTGTTAACGTTGTCGCTGTTCGTTGTTAGGTATGGTTTACATAAAAACAATTATTTGCCTCCGTGCCAGAGGAAAGAACAAGATATTTACCTTCCCCGCGATTTATTCCCTTGTAAGTTCACGTCGTCATTTTTTTATTCCTCGGAGTGCACATCTGAATTAAGCTAAGTTTACTTCAAAGCTCTAATTTTACAAAGCCTTTCTCCTTGGCTGCAATCGTTTTTGGAGTTAACATTAATAAAACCACATCGATCAAATACAGTTCAAGCAATTGAAGTCATATGCTAACATAAGCGGTACATTTGATGGAAAAACCGAAATACTAAGTGCGGTTCTCGATAATGTCACTTCAGATAAAATTTATAAACTTGAAGGGTAATATGCCTTTACCGTGAATTACTTAATAATTGCCAAAACTATTTTTCCATAGGCTCTTCGATTCATTTTCTTTCTTTTTTTTTTTCCTCTTTATTCTGTCTTTTTTATTTTCTGCTTTTTATGTGTATGTATGTGTGTCTAAAGAGTTCACTGTAAACCGTGCAAACATGTACGATGTTGTACTTGTTGAAGGGATTTCCTCTGCTTCAGTCCAGTCATCTTTGCTATAAACAAGACACCATTATTATCGTCTCTTGTTATCAAACAGATTTGACGATCCGCCCGGAGTGTAATTGACGACAAGCTCTAAAACGAAATGGAA